CCTTTGACGCGGTGCGGAGCCTGCCACAGCTGCTCAGTCAGGCCGGCGTGCGCACAGGTGAGGCGCTGTGAGGCTGGGCGGGGTGCAGGGCGCTCATCTGAGGACTGGGCCTGGGCTTCCTGGGTGGGATGTGGGTCCTGGCGAGCAGTGTGCTTAGGGGAGCAGAAAAGGGAACAGAGGGGATGGAAGACCGGGGGCGCTGGACCGGCCTCTCCCGCCCTAGGCATCATTGGGAAGAAGCATGTGGGCCCGCAGGCAGTGTACCCATTTGACTTTGCCTACACGGAGGAGAACAGCTCCGTCCTCCAGGTGGGACGGAACATCACTCGGATTAAGCTGCTGGTCCGGAAGTTCCTGCAGACTCAGGACGACAGGTGGGTCAGGGCGTCACTCACATGCCTGGCCAGACCGCTCTGAGGTTTGCCCGAGACTCATGTCCCAGTATCCAGTTGGAATTCTTGGTGTTCTCAGACAGGGAGCGGGGAGAAGGTTATAGGGGATAGGTAGTGAGAGTCACAGGGAGATTTTCAAATATAAGGGAGTGGGCAAAGCCAGAAGGGGTGTCCCTGCCCAGAGCTGGGGCTCCCCGAGGTGGAGAGTCAAAGCCCCGGCTGCAACACGAAGCCCCTCCCCCACACGCAGGCCCTTCTTCCTCTATGTCGCCTTCCACGACCCCCACCGCTGCGGGCACTCCCAGCCCCAGTATGGGGTCTTCTGTGAGAAGTTTGGCAATGGGGAGAGCGGCATGGGGCGCATCCCAGACTGGACCCCCCAGACCTACAGCCCCCAGGACGTGCTGGTAGGAGGGCCCTCGCCACATTTAAAGGTGCCCCCGTAGCCCTAAGTCCAGGCACCCCTCCTCCTGAGGGCTTGCAGTCCTCACCCCAGGGGATGGGACATTAGTGTGTAAGGAGAGACCCTCTGGCTGAGTTGGGTCGGGGTCACTGAGCGAGTTGCACAGGTGTGTGCACTGATGCAGTGATGGGAGTAGCTCTGGGCTGACCACTCCCAGGAGGAAGGTTCAGGCTTTGGGGGGCAGGCCAGCACCTCCACCCTTCCCCCTTCTACCTGTGCCAAGCTTGCCTCTGCCCCCCAGGTGCCTTACTTCGTCCCTGACACCCCAGCAGCACGAGCTGACCTGGCAGCTCAGTATACCACCATTGGCCGGTTGGACCAAGGTGAGCTCCCAGGCTGGGTGGTGGGCTGTGGCACGGCTCAGTCCAAGGGGTCCCACCAGCGGCAGAGTGTGATCAGGGTCGCAGTGTCAAGGCCCTGTGCTGGGCTCCATGTTCAGAGAAGGAGCTGGGCGGGAGCAGGACTCAGGTTGCCCCGTCTGATGCAGAACTGCTCCTGGGCTGGGTCCTTTGGATGCCCCAGAGGTTGGGCAAACACTCCAAATGCTCTTCCAGCAACGGGATCTGGATCAGATTTGGGGTTTTGGAGTCCCCTAGATTATGCAGATAGAGAACTGAAGGGGAAGGGATTAGTCTTTTTTGGCTGCTGTGACAAAATATTGTAAACTGGGTGACTTAAAACTACAGAAGTTTGTTCACTCACCATTCTGGAGGCCAGAAGTCT